ACCAAAATCAAAATGATATACTCAATGTTGCTTTCATATTACGGCTTGAAGCATCATAATGACTAAATCCTCCTAAGTATTCATTTCAACAAAAGATTTGTAAATTAACATCTGAATCAAACAGGTGCAGTTCCCTAGTTCCCTACGTATAAACACATCTGTTACTTTCCAGTCTTGCAGATTTCTTTGCTTCTGTCAAAGAGGTCCTGTATCTTTTTGCCCTCGAAATCGATTGAGTTCTTGACTAAATCTACGCCAAACACAAGGTTGTTGGTTTTCAAATAAGATGATTCATTTCACTTATTTCTCCCTTGAAAATTTTACTTACCGAAATTATTTATGCGAAAATTACATATTTGAATTTAATTTTATTTTTATGATTTTCCGATTTACTCCTGCGTGTATGTGAAAATAATTGAATCTGAGAACTAACGCTGCTACAATTCTGTATCACTAGACGGAACGTTAATCCTAATATTAAATTTTAATTTCGTCTTTCAGTTAATGATAACAAAGTTAAGATTCGCCGTACAGTTTTTCACAGCTTTCAAAATAGACTTCATATGCTTTTGCTTAATCGATAATGAAATGTACTTTTCTTTACGTTTCCCTTTGCTTGTCTAAGATTCCCAGCTAGCAATGCTGTAATCTAAAAAAAAAAAAAATTCTTCTTTACAACTTCAGTTAAAACGCAAGTAATAAGCAGACACCAACTGAATTTCTTTATCCTGTATTTAGAAGGCAAACAGAATTATTGCTTTGGAGCAAATGTTACAAATATTTTCTTATATCGTCATAAAAATATTTTTTTTATTCTTTAGAACAGGGTTTTTGACATGAATTCCTTCATTTCAGTAGGTATGACAATTATAACTTGAATCTGGTGCTTTTCTTGCGATAGAAGGTTGGAAAATATAATTAAGTTTGTTTGTCTTTACGGTTAATTCCTGTGTTATGGTATCTATTCTTTTAAAATCTGTGCGCGTCGGTCTGTTTGTTTGTTTGTGGCATCATCTCCCCTGGAAAGGCGGGGAGTTGAGTTTCGGACTCCAAAAATTCGTGAGAAGCCATTTCCATCATTCTCATCTTCGTACGAGTTTAATTAGCTGAGATATTAATTAAAAACTCCGAAAACGCTAATTTTCGCCCTTATTTTTCCAAGTGGCAACAGTATCATACGCAGATAAAAATCTGCTTTATTTTGAAAAGTGTTGCCACTGCTTGCTTTCATATCGCAGAGTTTGTTAATAAAACATTCATACGTTTTACCAAATATGAAATAAACATATCGTAGCTAAACATTAAATATATTATTGTATAAGGTATTAAATGTGATACGTTGTATAGTGATGAGATTATGAAAGACACAGTTTTTTTCCAAATAGGATTCAATATATCTCATTAAAGCACTTTTTACTGCATTTCGCTCATTTTTTTCACGCGTAATTCTTGTACAAACATTTTTACTTTGGTAAAACGGTAAAAACTCTAAGCACAAAATTTATGAACTTCATTTTGCGTAAAAATAAAATAAAATTAAATAATATTGATAGTACGGGATGCTTTGAAATAAATAAGGTAAAATTAAACAAGATCTGATATATTTTTTTAAGAAATTTTAATGAACATTTTCAGACAGTGATTTTCAAAATTATAATAACATTACAAAACGATTATTTAGTTGATTATATGATCATTAAATTATTAACATTAAAGTGGATTATTTATTTTAGTAATTTATAAAATTCAGAGCATAAAATTTTCTCAGTGTAATGCAGGAAATAAAAAGATAAAATAAAATCTAGATGCACTCAGATTTTATATTATGCCCAAAAGAAACCTTTTTTTTTTTTTTTTTTAACGTTTTGTGTGGTACCTATAATTATTGAATATCATGTTCTTCGCCCATAAACCACATACATTTGAAAACAGCATATCTTTAGAATTTCCGCACTGGAGATAAAAATGTTATTTTCCGTACAGTGTTGCCATTGCTCGCTTTGAACTCGTTGAGTTTGTTAATAAAACATTCGTTAAAGTTTTACAAAATATGAAATAGATTAAAGCAAATTCGAAATTCGACCGTCCAGATGCCCATGTTCGGGTGAGTATTACATTATTCAAAATTTGATGGCTCTAGATTCCGTCGTTTTTGTCACAGTGCGAGAAACATATATCTATTCATGCAGATTCTTCATTATTTAATTTCTTTAAATATAATACAAGGTGCTAATATTTGGTAACAACAATTTGCAAGGGGACACGGACATTTATTTATAGCGAAACAGCGCAAAATGCCATTTCGAGCTAATAAAATAAATTAACAGTAAATAAAAAAAAATCTTACGCAGAACTAAAAATAAATTTAAAAAATAATCACTATAAAATACAAGCAAAATTAATTATTACGGTTAAATACAGTTTTAATATTAGAATTAAGTGTCTAAATATTAAGGAGTCAAAAGTGTTTATCACTATGATGTATTATGAAATATGATTGAAATAAAATTTCTTTATAGAAATTGTACTATAATACTCATTTATAATTTTAAAAAAGCAGCACAATTTAGAATTTTAAACAAAACTTTCAAAAATTCGTTTTAAATATTTTAGTATTTTTTACTTATTTACACCAATAAAAATCATAAAAATATCAAGAGAAAATTGCTTGTTTGAAATTTTCTATTAGTTCAGATATAAAATATTATTTTCTAAAAGAAGTTTAGTTTTTCTGAATGTTAACTCAACTCGGCAGAATTTTCTAAGAATTTTTAATTAATTTAAAACTTGGCTATTTTTAAATGCATTTGAACCGCAATTGGAGAATGTCGACTTTCACCGGAGAATATCAATATTCACCAAATACGTCAGTGAAAGACCGAATATTTCACTACATTCTTGTATATTCGGACCCTCACCGGTGTATGTCAACAATCACAGGTATGCTCTGGTGAAAGTCGAAAAGAGAGGTCATAAAGTGCCATAATAGTTTAAGTTATTGCGATAAGTAAGATTTGAATCACATTAAATTAGTAAGTTTTTTATTACTGTTATTTTATTTTCTGATTTAGAACGTACTGTATAATTAAATAAATTTTTAACTTCTATTATTTTCCTTTCTCATTTTAAATGTATTCTGTGTTTTAGGTTTTCATGTTCTTAAGTTCTTATTTAAAGTGCGTTTATTCGCGACTGAATTACGGAGAAGAAAATATAATATTGTTATATGTTCAACATTCACCATTAGTACATGGTGAATGTCGACATTAACCGGTGTAAGTCAAGAAATAAGAGTATTTGGAAAATATTTCGGACATACACCAAGAGACTATGTGAATGTTGACATTCACCGGTGAAAAGTCGACGTTCTCCAGATTTCGGTGTTTCACCGTAACATATCTACTGTTAAATGAAGATGAATAAATATGTGAATTTTTCATAAATTCCTGAGATAAGAGATGTTTTATTTTTTTTATAACAAGGCTAGTTTCTTTTTATTTTATCATTATTCATTTCCTAGATGACTTTAAAAATAATTAAAAATTTTCATATATTTCGATTTTGTTGTTACTATTGGATAATTTAAAGAAAATTAATTGGATTTTATATTGTATTCTGTGTAATCCTTCTACGTTATTTTATTTTTTTATGTATTAATTCTTATTACGCAATGCAAAATGTATGACTTAAATATAGGAGAATCTCAGTCAATTGAAAATTCCATACACTTGCTTCCATGAAATTTTAAAATCTTTTTCTAAAACATTTAAGGCATTCTACCGAGTTTTTGACAAAACGTTCGGCATTTATAATTTTAAAGACTTTCTTAATAATTTTAAAGAATTTTTATAAAGAATTTCAGTATACTTTTAATTCATTATATAGCTTTCGTAACTGAAAAATATTTTAATGCTTTTTACAGTCCTGAAACAAACATAATATTCTATATTTGTCATGAACGTTTACACATTTTACAGAAATATTTGATTTTAGTGTATTCTTGTCACAGAAAAGAAGCTAAGCTAAAAATATTTGACTCTTCCTACTTAAAGCACGCTTAATTGCATCAGAGTGGTAAATGTATTAAACACTGGTACATCGACTTGAATTCGATTCTAAGCAAACGGGCTGACTGAATGGACGTTTTCGTGAATTACGTGGTTTTCCGGAAATCCTCGTGGTTTTCCGGTAAGTTCTCCACGAAGGCATCCTGTTCCTTAGGCTTTGCATGCTTGGCCGTTATCTATAAACCAAACCAAATCAACCGCATTAAAACGATCATGGCGCTTATTTGCCGAAACTGGCAACTTTAATTTCCCAATCTGTAGCGTGCAAATTTCAATTATTGTCAAAAAGCTCATGCAGTGGCTGCTTTTAATGGGGAATATTTTTTACTGCTTTTAATTAACAATTTTGATTTTATATTTAAACCTGATGAAGGGTGACCTTTCCTTCCCACCCCCTACTGGTTTTGATCAAATCTTAGTTCGGCAATCATTTAACAGTAAACAGATTAATGGTTTTACATTTTATTTATTGTAAGTATAAGGGAAAAAATTAAGTATAAATTTTCTTTTAAAAGCGACTTAAGTGGAATCAAATCTAATTTAGGCTCTGTAGCTTCGACTGAAAGTGACATCTTGTTTCTCTCGTTTGAGATTAGGGGATTGTTCTTACTTATATGTTATTTTTGGCCTAAATTTCATATTTTTCGTACTTTTTCAACGCTACAGTTATCCTTAATTTAGTCTTATTTAACTAAGTGTTGTTGCCTAGCAACAAATATATTTACTTTTAGTTTATTGGCATTTAGTATTTAGTTGCGTAGCACTCTGCTATTGCCACTGGTTACTATTATATGCCATGCTTTGAGTACGTATTTATAAAATACAGAGCATTAATTCAAACTGTTTGCCATTTGTTAAATCATATAAATTTTTATTGCTTGAGTAATTCACTAGGTTGTGATGTATTTTACACATTTTCCTTTTCTATTTCAGGAGATGGACTGCATTATCAACCAAATGATGACTGTAGCCGAATACTTAGGATGGGATGTCACGGAACTAAAGCCGGTAAATGATACAAATGTTTCTCTTTTAAACCTTATTTTGGATGATATCATGCCCATATGTCTCCTCGTATAAACATTTATTCTAATTGATTTTTAATGAGTATTAGGCATGTACAATGCATGTGTGCTCAGAATTTTATCAAGCTTAGTTATAATTTTATTGGTATATTTTCTTCAGGAATTCCTCTCTTATTGTTATGTATTTGGTGGCAGTTTCTGGTTATTTTTATTACATTTAAAAGTTTTTAAGTCTTACAATTGTTAAAGTTCTTTTAAATGATTTTTTTAACACTTGCTATAAAAACATGCAATACATATGTTCGTTTGAAAAGCGAAGTTGTTTTATTTACATTAATACATATTTTAGCGTAATGAGGGAAAATCGTAGATTACATTAAAAGTCAACAATAGTCTGGTCAGTAGCTTAGTATGTGATCCTGTTATGAATTGTATAGTAAGATTCACCAAAGCTGATTGGATACAAGAAATTATGTCCGAATGATGAAATAATCTCACTGGGTAGGTGTTTCGTTCTTTATCTCAAATTTTAATCAATCTTTCCATAGTTTCTTTCGAAATATCCTTCAAGAAAGCGCTCATCGTAAGAATTAAGACTATTAGAATCTTACTTAATGCACATAACTGACCAGCAAGGTTTGGGGTGTATTGTTGCCACAAATAGTTCAAATTGATGCTTACGTATTAACGCAACCACCTTAGTAAAAGCCGCCAAATTTTAAAAAGTCTCAGCCTCTGGCAATAAAGCGCATAACTATTCATCCAGCAACCGTGTTCATCATAATCCTTCAGTCAAGCAACGCCGCCATTTTTGTATGCCTTCTTTTTTTTTTTTTTTTTTTTTTTTTTTTTGTTGTTATCCAAGTTCCAACAGTTTTTATATACAAATCATGATATTTTTTGCCTTAAACTTATTTTTAAAACATAAGCTGACCATCAATTAGAAGAAACTGTGGTAAAATTTCGGGAGAAAAGCAAAATTGTTTTTAGAAAATTTTCTACGACGAAGAAATGCGTTTCCTAGACAGCCGCTGTTGCTGAGGGTTGGGCGAAGCCGAGTCTCCGCAATTCTGCTTTTTAAGCGAAAACAGATCGCTGTGTACCTCGGGATAAGAACAGCATAAAAAATTGCAGAAAGATTTGGGTTAATCTTCGGATTATGGTAAATTGGCGATTTTTTTGGCGACCAACCCTGCTACAGAATCCTGCTAGTTTTTTTTTTTTTTTTTTTTTTTTTTCAAAATTTTTTTCCAACAATCTGCTAGCCGAATTACGCTAGAACTTTGCATATGCTGAAACAAAAGTGCTTAAACATAACGAAGATTAGGTGCGAAATTGGGAGAAAGTGCAGAATCGCCCACTGCTTGCCGCGTTTTTAAGAACTGCACATAAACTCGCTATCCATGTACACGTCGACCTATTTTCACTTAAAAAAAAAACATCCCCAGAATTGCACAAAAATGGCATTGCGCATTCACTCTTGACTCTATCCATGTACACTGCTGAAGTCCTAGCTAGTAACCTTTATCGTCTTACCAAAATGTCGCCAAACTACCTGTTACCATATTCCAAAGATTAGCCAAGATTTGAATAAGAATGTAAGTGTTTTGTTTTTCAAACTATTACGTAACTGTTATTTAATTATTCGATTTAATTAGTTAAAAATCAGTAATATTAATTTGTATTTTAAAGTATGCTTTCTTTTCATATATTGATAATGGTTATAAATATCGATAGTTTCGGAATCTTTTTTTAAAAAAGGGGGGGACTCGAAAACTACCGATTTCCATTTGATGAGTTACTTTGAAATTTCCATCTGTAAAAAATTGCCAAATTGCGCCAAAGTAGTTGAGTTAATAAGTTAAGTGCTTTCAGATTTTATTTCAAAACTAGATTTTTTTTTTTACAGACTGACGAAATGAAAAATTAATTTATTTCGAATTTCGATAACATGTGTGTTACTTATTATTTAATGATTAATCGTTTTGGGTAAAAATATATTTACGGGTGCCCCTTGGCCAAAGTTGGTGATTTTTGGCGGTGCATTTATACCGAGTTTGTGCAATTCTTTGACTTGTTATTTTGGCTTTGTGCACGCAAAAATTGCCGCTACACTAATCCAAAATAATAAGTCAAAGAATTGCACAAACTTAGTATCCATGTACACATCAACCTATTTTTCACTTAAAAAAGAATCAGAGCATTGCACAAACTTGGCATTGCGCACTCCCTTTGTCCATGTTCACATCAATCAATTTTCACTTGAAAAGTCAAAGCAGCACCCAATTCTACACTAGAGCCAAACAAAAAATACATTATTTTAATAAACTACATTTTAAATCCAACAATAAAATAACATAAAAAAGGAAATTCATCTTATGCATCTAAGCACTACACAAAGCAAATATCCACCTGCCTTATTTCGAAATTTCTACGTCTTCAGTCTGGCACACAAAATTCCTTAACAGCATCCAAAACCTTGCTAAAATTATCGTATCGTCTATCGGCGTCGCCACATAAATTCACAAAAATAAGAATCAGAAATATCCTCCGTAGTAACCGACGTTCAACCATACACATTTTCTTTCCTACAAACAGGACGCTTATAATGGCTACTAAGTAAAGCTTCATTTACATACCAGTCAATTAATGCTGTTTTCCCCATTCGTTCCAAATCGTATAGAAACTTCAAATTAATCGTACTATATTCAGCCATTCTACCGTCTAAACCACAAAACAAGCAATGTATTTCCTAACCAACACACGCTACAAGCCCTTACAATTCTTTCCCATCATTCAAAATTTACCGCAACCACGCAACCGATTACGTCATAACAGGGTTTCCATAACATTTAACTACTCAGATTATCATAAATGAAACAACAACCTGTCGATAAATGGAGCAACAACTTGGCAATAAACGAAACAAAACTTCGCGATGATACAAGGGGCACCCTTCAATCTACTCTAACCATCGTTTTGCTGTAGAAAATAGCAATCAAAAAGAATACGTTTTGTTTTTATCATAAAAGGTTACTCTTGGAGGCCCCTAGATGTGTTTGGCAAATTGTTTTGGTGCCAAGAATGGCGCCACGTTTCCGAGATTTCTATTACCCAAAACAACACCGAAACGTGTGTTACAAAAATAACAAAAGTATTACACTTGTGCATTTTTGTCTACATCTGATTGTCTGCGTAGTATAACTGTGTCACATACAATTCTTGTCAGAAGAAATTGACGAGATGACATTTCCCTCTCAACAACGTCCCATATATTCTTTATAGGTTTAAGATCAAGACATCTGGCGACGTCACTTTCCAGGTAATCTTTCACCAGCTGAGCCCTGTGTGGACATGCGTTGTTTAGAAACTCAGGACCAACTGCACCCTTAAAAAGTCGAACATAGGGCCCTAACATCTCTTTTTTTATAACAGTTAGAGAAGCTTTGTCAAACGCATGGAGGAGTGTGCGGTCGTCGAACATAATGTCTGCCGAAACTATTTCACCTCCACCGTAATGATCCTGTTCCCTGATGACAGAGGGATTGTAGTATGTTCCAGGATGTCTCCAGTTACAGGTACGTCGACAATCAGTGTCCAGCCTTAATCTCGACTCATCTGTAAAATGTACGGTGCTTCCTGAAGTCTGGTCCAAAGTTCATGTTGTCTGCACCATGCTAAACACGCTCTCTTGTGAACGGGAAACAAACAGCGGGTTTTTCTGGCATACATCCCTGTTTCGTGAAGCCTTCGGGCAATTGTAGACTGTGAAACTCGAGTTCCAATGACAGTATACAACTCACGTGAGAGCAATAAACCTGTAGCTGTCTTGTGCCGTGGCGTTGAAAGTGCCAAATAACGATCCTCATTCATTGTTGAGGATCTTGATGGACCTTGTCCCTGCTTTCTCAACATGGATCCTATATCCTGAATCTGTTTCTACAAATAAGCACACAATACTTGGCATTATATTGAGCTCTCTAGCCATCTGCACTTGTGATTGATTTGCCTCTAATCTGCCGACAATTCTCCATCTCATTCCGTCATTCATTCGTTTGTGGAATACTTATTCTTTCAAACATATGAATTCTATCACAGCAGCCAACATACAGGATCGATAAATATATTTTTAAGTGTTTTCAAGATATCGTAAACTGAAAACAGAAAAAGTGTGGGAAAGTTCATCGACATACACAGATAGCAAAGAGAAAGATATTTCGAAGTTATCTAAAAGGTTACCGATAGCGGACTTTTCAAAACGTTTGTGCAAACGTGATGACATCACAAATTCGTAAAGTTTGTGGAATACAAAAATAATTAAAATTTTGCTTTCGAAGATTTTGTTGAAGATTTTGCGAATAAACAATTTTCTAATTTGGCTGCCGTATTGCTAAGTAAAGTGATTTTTCTGTGCTGAGCATTTAAGATTATGAAATGCATTGAAAAAGTAAAAGTTAGTGATCTCTTCAGTATTTGACTAAAAATCAAATTTTATAGATATGTAAATGGTTTGGAGATTAAAATTATTACAGCGTTTGAGTTTTTGTGAGAAGCTGAGTAGGAATGTGCTAGAATATCTTAAATTAGGAATTAAACATTCAATTGAATCTTTATAAAACTCAGTAAGCAGCTTTGTGTGCTAGTAAAACAGTAAGAAGAAACATTTTATTCAAATATTCGTATAGTATGTAATAAAAATATTAAAACTTAATTTAAAAGTCAAACAACAGAAATCAGCGTTATATTTTCAAATTTTCACAGGATTAGTTTCGATGGTTTTACGGAACCAACATCCTCAGCTGCCAAAGTACAAATGAACGAGATAAGGTATAGTAATTAGATAAGATAAGAATGACTGGACAACAGTCAAGTTACTGGCGCCATCTGTTGATGAAATGAGAATTAAAACATAATTTCCTTAAAGGCTGAAAGCAAAGAGAGACTGAAATGGGGTCGTAAATAGAACAAAAAGATTTTTTTGAATGTTAAACGCCTCTAGAAAATCTAATTCACCAATGGAAGATGTTTTCTCTTGTTTGACTTCTAAATTGATACTTGTTCGGCGTGTTATTCTATCTTAATTATTAAAACTTAGCTTTTTCAAATGTGGTAAAGAATTAATATGCAAGTTAAGGAGAAACACTTTCCAAAACAATGATATTTCTTCTTCTAGTTCTTTAAAATATGGTATAAAACTGTGAAAATGTTTCTTAGGAAATTCCAATAATTTAGTACCAAATTGTTTTACAGTCAATGAAATCAATTAATTTTACAATGAATACGGGTGATCGTAATAACTTATGACGTATATTTTGAAGTGGGTTAAATATCTTTTAATAGCAAATACATTCTGTAAGAGAAGATTAATCTGTGAGGATAGAATACTGAGGTAAATTAAAACTTTCACGTTTAAAGTTGAACCTTTCAAACACCTAAAAAATTAATCAATATAATCACCTGGTAAAACTGCCGTATTATCGATACTTTAGAAGGCATTGGAGGTAAAAAATAAGGAGTTTAAAGGAAGTTTCCTCTTCCTTAACACGCGGCATTTGATGTAACTTCAAGCACGTCCCGCTAGCAATGGGGATGTCCGAAGTTCGAATCCCGGCGAGGGCAATTCTTATTTTTCATGTTTCCTACCTAAAATAAACCTCATAATTCTACAGAGTTATAGAAAAATACCTGAAAATTGTATGATTTGCAGTAAAATGAATCAAATATACATATAATGATGTTGCGGTTTTTGCGAAAACTTAAAACTAATTCACGCTTGAATCATGGCCGAGAAGTCTCTAGATGAGGACTAGTGCTAAAATTACGAATGGCCTGATGGATAAACATCATTTTATTTTGCACAGAAACAATTATACAGAAATACATTTTTGTTTAAAACTGGTACAATACCAGCCTAAACACTCCCCAGAATGTCCATATACGCAACAAGCCAGGGCAGCGATTGGGCTAAAAATGTCACAGTACAGAGAAATTGCGCGGAAAGAGTGAAACAGTATGCGGCAGAGTGACGCAGAACTGTGCAAAGCGAAATTTTGAAGCGGATGATGCGTTTCATTAAAATTTATCAATATGAAGATCTGTTGCCAATTGATTCAAGTTTAGTAATTTTATTCCGAATTTTATATTTTACATGTACATCTATAAGTGTCCAAAACGTTATCTATAAGGAAATTTCCCCAAAATCTGTTTTATGAAACATGATAATATCACAGTTATTTGCAAATATATTCATGGAACTGAAACATTTTTAAGCTTTGCGCTCGAAATTTAACATTAAAGGATTTCATGCGAATATTCATTTAAATTTTCTCGGATTTCCTAGTAAGTTTTTGCTGAGTTTTCGAAATTTCTTACAATGAATATATGTAAGATACAAACGTCACTTTGGGCTGAACATTTAAAAACAGCATATCTTTAGAATTTTCGAATAAATAGCCTAACGTGCTGGAGATGAAAGTGTTTTATGCCCCACAGTGTTGCCACTGCTCGCTTTGAAATCATTGAATTTTTTAATTAAAAATACGTTCAAGTTCAAGTTACAAAGCATGAAATAGGTAATAAAACAAATTTGTGCTCCCATGTTCTCATATTCGGTGGAGGTCTGCGTTATTTAAACATTTTACGGCTGTAGGTACCGTCGTTTTTTCACAATTTGAGAAACATACAAACGTTCATGCAGATTCCTTATTATTTAATTTCTTTAAATATAATACAGGCTTATAATATTATGTGGCAACAATTTGGAAGTGATTTAGATTTTTAAAGTGATTCAACGCGGAATCCCGTTTTGAGACTAATAGCCCATCTTGCCTAATACCGTTTGGGCTAAAAATCATTTGAATGAAAACAAAGTAGGCCGGAAATGACCGAAGCTACAGTAATACGTAATAGAATACCTTCACTGTAATTCTTAAAAGTGTTTATTTTAAGCGCAATATGGTTAGAAGTTCACAAAACAATAAAGCATTCATTTATTCAAATTTCATTGAAAACGTGTTAATAAGAGAATTTAAGAATTGAAAGGAAACTAACTCATTATTAAAGTACTTCTTTTTAAAAAGAGACATCTTTCGTTTCAGAAAGATGCCTATTTCTTACCTTCTCCTGAATCCTACGGCAGTACGTGTTTGCTCATTCCTCATCCTGGAATTACACTTTGATTATATGTGATAAGTTGAAAATAAGCTTTTGAATGACTCAAAGAGGCACACATTCATACACAGAAAAAAACGAAAATGAATGGTGTAGGAAAATCTGAATTATATATCCAAGTTTTATGAAAATGTTTTGCTTTTACTAATGCTATTTCTCAAGAAACGCCTACGCAGTTAAAATTTCTCAAGAAACGCCTACGCAGTTAAAATTTCTCAAGAAAATCCTACGCCGGTAAAATTTCTAGCGAAAAGACTACCGAACAACTTTCTGAAAAATTCTTTGATATAAAAAAAGGAAATTACGCAAACAATTCCCATGAAATAGAAATGAACTAGAAAGAAAATAATAGATACTTCAAAGCAAAATCAGTTTTCCAAGAAATGCAAAAATTAACTGATATTGGATAGTAACCTCTTTACAGAACTCCGATATTGTTCGACTCGTAAACATTTTGTTGAGAAATAGAATTCAAACCTTCGAACAGTTTGAAGAAAATCTAAATATTAATAAATTTTCTGAGAACTTCTAAAAAAACAAACATTTAATGGAGGTAAAAACTATGAACGCTAGACTTAAAAGAAAATCATCGTCGAAAGTTTTTGTGAGATTGTAAGCAAATTTATAATACTTTGAGGCATAAATAAAAATGTTTTAATAATGATTTGTGTTATTTTATTACTAAGACGTTTAACATTCACCTCCCCCCCCACACTTTTGATAAAAACTAAAAACATATAATACTTATTTACTATAAAGCATAAAAGAATAATTTACGGGGGATAAAATACTTTAAAAGAAAAATAATCCTTTCAATAAAACAATTTTTTTCGTTAATTATACACAAACATACATTTCCCATTTTCCTTCAGGAGTGGTTACAAGCAGTCATGCTGTATCTCTTCTTAATCCGAAATGGGGTTTTACATCTATTTGCTATAAACCCCGTATCTAATAATATAATGATGAATTATATGATGATGAATTTGCATGTATGTATGTATGTTCCTCGTACTGTAAAACAACAACCGTACCTAAAGCCATCAAATCTTGAATAATGTAACCCTTCATACGAACATGTGCATCTGGAATCTCGAATTTGGAATTTGTTTCATATTATCTATTTCATATTTTGTCAAACATTAAAGAATTTTTGATTAACAAACTTTACGATTTTAGGTGGAGGAATGGCAACACTATACAAAAAAAGAGGCGCGAGGGACTGCGTATCGAAAATTCTAAAGATATGCCCTTTAAATATTTTGGGATATTGTTGTTGAATTTACTTTTATGGTTTAACTGTGAAGAACATGATATTTAATAAGTAAAGGCAACACACAAAACGTTAAAATATGTCCCTTTGGGAGTATTATAAAATCTGAAAGCTTTCAGATTTTTTTTTACTTATTGTTTCTAAAACTATAATTTTGTTTTGGTTTAATGGGGTTTGTGGCCACATGTATTTAAGTGTTTATTGGTTGCCTATAGTTGTATACCTTTAAATTCCAAGTGCATTAATTTCTTTATTAGAACTCGGGATCTAAGGAATCTTGCCGAAAATTTGTGTGTGCAAGTAGGCGATATTTTGCGATTTCTCATCAACTTGGAGACTTTTTGGAAGATTCGCGAAAATATATTTTCGAAGCCCTTCGACGGATTCTATCAGAAGTTTCCAGAACTTAATACTTTCTATATGAACTTTTATTTAACTTATATTTAACTTAATATTTTCTACATGATTCTTTCAGAACTTAATATTTTCTGTATGATAATATTTTCTATATCTTTCGAGAGTTTTTTAATGACTTGCCTACCTCGGACAGAGGGAATCAGAAAAGAATATTAGTATGACGTGCGGAAAATGATGCGCACTTTTTCTGAAAGTGTTCTTACTTATAAACCCATTTCATTTCGCTTGGGATTATTTCTGCTTACTAGTTAATGCCAGCTTTTCCACAGCTAGAGGTTTACGTCAGATAAAATGAAAGGGAAGGGAAACGTACGCATTTTGCTTAACGTGTAAATAGCTAAAATAAGATGAATAAAAAATTATTGTGGAATTGGATAGAATTGTGTATAGTCTGGAATAAAAAAATGTCGTATATGTCGTCTTTTTTTGACTTATAAAATGTTTTTTTGTTGAATGTCGCTTTAAATAAAGAGAATATATATTTCTTAATTGCTTGCAATTCAATTATGGAACTGACATCAATGTGATATGCTTGTTTTATGAAGTCTGTGTTTTGTAATAAATAGTACAGTGTGAAAACGCGGTTGTTAAGAATGTCATTAAAAATGTCATGTGTGTTTGTGTGCAGATTCTGAAGGACATGATGGTGGAGATCGATTACGATGCCGATGGCACAGTGTCCTTAGAAGAATGGAAAAGGGGTGGTTTAACCACCATACCGCTTCTCGTTCTCTTAGGCCTGGACTCTGTAAGTATTTAATCATTAATTTTTTCGGTAGCAGTATTCTATTGTATTAAATATTTCTTCCTTCTATTCAATGTAGCTCAGTTGTCCACTGGAGCTGTGGCATATGCTTCGAAGATGGAGCTTACAATAAAACGAATTGCTTCATTCCATGTATATTTGCTGATGTGTAAGGATCTGTGAGTGCAAATCCCACAAGTGTGAACAATACTGCCCTTGCTGTTGATTTGCTTCGGTCTTTGCAATTTTTATAGGAATCTGCAGTTCTGGCCAGAGCGCATCAGAATTTCAAATTCATCGTTCAAAATATGAGATTACATGGAGGTACTACATAGTTAATGTCACATTTAAGAGAAAGGTATTGGATTTTAAAATCACCTAAAACCAATGTGTTCAAGAAAATGTGTTCAAGAGAGAAAATGTGTATAAGAGAAGACATTTCTATTTAATATGAAATATTCAATCACTGTAAGTTATGAATGCGGAAAATTTCATTTCCGACCAATTAAATACACACCACGAGCTTCGCATTAAATAAATTCATCTGCTGAAGTTCATTGAAATGCTAAATTTTTTCGATTGGAGTTTTGGAGAGATTTATTTGCCAAAGTAATTTTTGTTAGAATCCGTACGTAATTTAGATACATTTGTCTTTTGGTAATACCTAAAATAATTTTATTTTCTATCCAATGCAGATTATATAAATCTTTGGTAGAAAAATATACTTTTTCCCTTTGTTTCGTAATTGAATAGCAAGATTTAGTCATAATTGTACCATTGTTTACAAATACACTCATGTCCATAAATTAAGGATAATGCAAAATCAGGCAAAGGAAAAGTTAGAAGCAAAATATATTTGACTTATTTGTAAAGCTTATTTATTAAACAAAAGGTGAAAAGCAAAAAAAGATGCTATATGTTTGATATTATTAAAAAATTAGCGATTTTTTCTCACTGGAGCAAATTACAAAAAAACCTTTTTACAAAAAAACAATATTACATGGTTGTTATGATTGTTAATACATTGTATGTCTCCCAGACGATGCAATACAGTTCATGCTGAGTATCAAATTATCGATCCGATGTTGGAGGATATTACACCACTCAAAACGTAATGCTCTCCGAAGTTCCGGTAGACATGTAGGAGGAGGTTGACGGGCTGCAACTCGTCGGCCAAGCATGTACACGTGCTCTACTGGATTCAAGTCCGGTGAGAATGCTGGCTAGTCCATACGGGTGATATCCTCCGATTGAAGGCATTCGCTTACGATGTTTGCACGGTGAGGACTGGCGTTGTCATCCATAAACGCAAATTGTGCGCCCATGGCGCCCGGAAACAAGCATACATGTTGTTCCAGAATGATGTCTCGATAGATTTGGCTTGTCAGGGTTCCAATTTGAACATGCAGGTCAGTTCTAGATCCCAGAATGATTCCACGCCAAACGAGCACTCCTGCACCACCGTAACGGTGTCGTTCAGTGATGTTTCCTTGGTGGTAACGGGTACCTGGAGCTCTCCATATGAAAGTCCGGCGAGAATCAGACTGCAAGCTAAACCTGGACTCGTCGGAAAACATGACACAAGCCCACTGTTGCGGTGTCCACAGTGCATGCTCTCTACCCCAGGCTAACCGCAGGCGACAGTGAGTTGCAGTAAGTGGAACGCATCCGACAGGTCTACGAGCATATAGACCAATCTGCCCTAAGCGTCTGTACACGGTCTGCCTTGAAATTGTCGTACCAGTGGCTAAAGAGAGCTGACGAGACAGATCTGAGGCTGTGCTCCGCCTGTTTCCTTTGGCAGCAACTGCCAAATACCGGTCCTCATTCGGCGTTGTAACTCTGGGGCGACCTGTGCTGTAACGTCTACTCACATTACCATCATCTTCGAATCGTTGCCAAAGCCTGGAGATGACACTCTGGGCAATTCCAAGTTCGTCTGATACTTCCAGTTGGGTACGCCCACATTCCAGACGGCCGATAATTCTACCACGTAAAAAATCATCCAAATGCGTCCTTGTGTCATAACTATTCGGTTATTGCACTGAAATGCTTATAAAGCGCCTGCGAACAATTTTACTTCTTTGCCTGTATTCCTTATATATCACCCTCTTACACTCTCGTCATTGTGACGTATCATCGGTGTCATCTGGTTACTTCCTGAAATTTGCATATGATTCTTGAAGATGTGTGTAGTGATTCTACAGGTGATATATTTATTTTAGAGTTCGATTTCCGCGTGACTCCGAATTATCCTTAATTTATGGACATGAGTGTAGTATCATCAGAGGAGATCCAAATTTAAGAAAGGAAATTGGAATGCATTTGGTATTCAAGATAAAGCCGACACGATGCTTGACAGATAGATGATCAACATCCTTATATTTGTATTTAATGTTTACAGAGTGTGATGTTACTTTTTGTAAAAAAATTTTTAAGTTGATTTATATTTGGTTTCATTTATAGATACTGAAGCATATGTTTTCGAGAAATGTTTCAGTTAAAAAAAATATACTTCACCCTTTCCCAAATTCAAAATATAGATTATGTCCGTAGACATATTCGTAAAATATTATAACACCGTGTCCATGAAACCATGCTTTATATATACACTATACCTTTATTTACGTAACCGTTGGCTGTAGACATGTTTTTTTATTTAGAACAATCCAGTCGGATTGTTCTAAATAAAAAAACATTTTCATGTTTTGGGCTTTTTCAGGTTATCAAAAGAAAATTTTTCTTCTTACAAATTTTACAAAAATTAGGAGGTCTAATTTTTTACATAATCCCCGGTCCTTGTACCTATGTTTTGTAAGATTTTGTGCTCTTTTAAAAATATGTGTAAAACATTAAACTCTCATACCGAAAAACATTTGGCCGAGATAATTAATTTTAAAATTTTAGACTATGTTTAGGGTTCTTACACATATTCCATACTCACTATTAATTATAATTAAGATTCGTACACAAACTAAAGGCTCAATTTTTGCATTTGTATATCAGTTTAGCAAACCAGTAGATATTTCCAGGATCATACGGCGGGGAGGGGAGCAGACTCCAGTACTGACTCAAGCAAACGTGCAACATTACTCTTATACGTTAAACATGAAAAATATTTCTAATTTTATGAATTTTGTGTATGTTTACTGTACTGTGATTCTATATATTAATAAAACTGTGTGCTGTAAATCTTAGCCCATTAATACATTCTGCATACGGAAAATTGCTTTCTTCAAACTTAACTTTATATAGAAAAAATGTGTTGTATAATTCAGATTAGGAAAGTATGCATAATTTAAACAAATCTAATTGTATTTGTGTTTAATGAGGAAAAAAATAAATGTTAACTGACAATATTTTATAACTGTTAATAAGTGCGCGATAAAATTATTTTTTCATAAAAGCTGATGATATTGCCTGAGACAATGCCAAATGCAACTTTTCAAAATTTTGCGTTAAGGACAGTAGAATTTTTCATTGCCTCTTATACAGTATTCTGTGCTTTTTTCGTTTGGCTCAGTATTTATTGCAAAATCAGACAGTTCCTACGCCATTTTTTAATAATTTTTTTAATTTCTTTTAAATTAAAGGCTCTTTTATCTACTTTATTATCACTTCTTTTACTGTCTGCTGGTCTTATAAGATATTATAGTTATATACCCGTTCGTCAAGAGTATACTTATTAGTAAAATACTTTTAGCGTCTGACAACTTACGTATTACTTGGTTGAATATTTTTTCGGCGTATCATATGTAAGAGAATTATAAGCTAAAGAATGGTATACACATTAATGAATCACAAAAGAAGTTAAAGTTAACTCGCCTTGATAGTGAGTGCAACTAAAATATTCTCACAAGTAATTTATTATTTGTCAAATGTTAAGAGTATGTTGCTAATACAGTAAAACCTTGTCGAACGCGGATTTACTGAATTCTATTCCGCATATAAGCGTTATATTAATTAATATTTCCATTTAATTCGTCCAACATTTGAATTTCATTTATACGGGATTCATCGTTAAACAGGGGGAGCATCCACCTCGAATTATTCTAATTTATTTCCTAACCGATCCCTCAGCAAAAGCCGACAAAGATGACAAAAATCCCAAATTTTGAAATTAAGTATCTTGCTCAGTTTCTGTCTTACTTAACCTTTTATTTTTTATAATGCATATAAATGTTTCTTAAACCTAACTATAGGGACTTTGGGAATTTATAGCATAAATATTTGCGTTGTTTGAAATATTTTTGCATCTGGAAGCATATGTTAACGACCAATTGTGACGAAAATAAAGGCTGCTTATTGACATGGTGGATATAGTTTTGTCTTGATATTATTCATGCCTTATTGCTCTTCAGTTTGCTGACTGTGTTATGCTAAGTGTGTTTCTGACTATTTTATGCTAAGCTTATCGTTATGTCCGTTATGCTTTGTTGTTTCATTTAATTTGTGACGTATTTATTGTTTATTTTAGATTCTTATTGATCTTTTTATCATTAATTTCAAGTTATTTAAAATTAGCAAAGTAACAACCTTGTGTTTGGCGTAAATTTAGTCACGATTTCAATCGATTTCAAAGGACAAACAGCTACAGGCAAACCAGAGCACAAGGGCTCCATTCCCTGGTAGTTCGTAACCACCTTACACAGATTAAGTGTCCAAGCCTGACAGGGCGCCACTCCCATCGGCCAACCCAGGGGGACTTCACATGTCAGACATCGTCCTTAAGGTAAACAGAAACAGATCCCTGTTTATCAGAATTAAAGTAATCTGCAAGATTGGAAAGAAGATACTTAGATACTTAGTTGTAATATACTGAGTTTCTACTGCACTGTGGCAGTACTTCCCAGTAACAGGAGAGATATCTCGAAGGAACATAGCTTTAAAGGAAAATCAGGTAGGTCCTGTAGCAGGAGATCATCAGAAGAGGTGGAAAGCAGTGGTCGCTGCGGTCATATTTATACCCTACGGCAGTAAAGCGAAAAAGAAGGTACAGCCAC